GTAGTGCTCTCTGACATGTGGTGTTTGGAGTAAAAAAATCCGAAACCTGTAATGTACCTGAAAGCCTTGAAAAATGTTTCCTAAAACAATGAAGTTACTTTTGAAGAAGAAGAAGAAGAAGCCCAATGTTTACAAGACCCTATCTCCATCACTGAGATCAATCATAGAGAGTTTGACTCAAAAAAAAAAAAAAAAACATCAGAAAGAACACTAAAGGACATTTTCAAATTAACAAATACAATAGCATTTGAGAAACAAATATAGAAAAAGACTGGTCATAAGAGACAAAATGACGTCATAAAAATAAACTACGATGTGAAAAAAAAAACAAAAAAAAACAACCAAACCCCGATCTGCACTGCGAACGTCTGACAACATAAAAACATATACTTTTCTAGTTTCAACAGAACGCTTAAAAATGTCATAAGACAAGGGAGGTAACTTTGTTAAGAAAACATTTTAATTGATGTAATTATTTCAAACTCTGTGTTCTTAAATAAATTTCGTTAAAACACAACCACCTTTGGAAAGTGAGCAAAAGTAAACGTTTTTTTTATAGTTTTATTTTAAAAAATGTAAAATATTTGTTGCTTGATTACAATTGGAAATATTTTTATTTATTCATTGTAATGTCATATATTACATAACCAAAAATTATACTTCATTTCATGCTGAAATTCCAAAAGTAGCATTTTTTAAAAATTTTGCCATTAAATCAAAATGTTATTAAAAATATGAAGTAATAAATATTGCAGTAATTGTTGGATTACTTTGTCAAGTGACACTAGTCAAATGTGATTATTACCTTTTTTGATTGCTGCAATACACTTTGACACAGTAAACTTTCTCAAATAAAAACCAGATCAAAGTCTATGTTGGAAATTTTTCACATCAGAACCTGTGGAATTTTACCTCAAAGGACAATGAAAAGCTGCTCGATAAGTAGTGACAAGTCACTGCAAATAATGGTAAATATATAATTGCCTCTTTTGGATTTGCACCCCTTGTATTTTTGATTTGTGTCTGATTTGAAATAATGACCTTGGATTATTGAATTTGGGATTTGAACCTCCACAATGTTATTATCTCACACTGACACAGTCCAAAAATTTACATTACAGTTGTGCTATTGTTATTATTATCACAACATTGCCTTTTGGCTTTCTTTTTGTGTCTTTTCATCCCAGTAACTACCATGAAATAATCTACAAGGCTAGAGGGTTTTTGTTTCACTGTCTAGGGACCATCTTGTTTTGTTCTCTTTTTGGTAGCGATCAGTTATTGCAATATTAAGATGCAGATAGTAATCTAATTGTAAATAATGGTAACTCATCATCCCATAAATTTGTGTTATCATGTGATAAAACATTATTAGACACTGATAATGTAGAGGACTTGGGGTCACCATATATAGTGGTATGTTTTATAAGGATGGATCATTTGTAGATGTCTGTTTATGGCTGCATGTATAACATGATCATGCAATTTATATTTAACATAAAATACCACATAACATGAATATACAAGAAGGAAAAAAATGTATTTATTTGTGTATATTGATGTACATGCATAGAAGTTTAAGTTGTTGGTGTTATGTCCCTTAGACTGTGAAATATTTTTATCTGAACTCACAAAAGTTGAATTAATTATAAAGCTGAGGAATGCTGAATAAACTGTAGCTTTAGAAGAATATTTCAAAGAGAAAAGTTCTTGTTGCTTGTTTGGAAATGTTCTGTATGTTTGTAATGTAGGTTGGAAAAAGTTGTACGTACGTGCATGTGTGAATATGCTTTTAATGTCTGACTGCCCATGGTCGAGACGAGAATCCTTAAGGTCACATCTTTGCAGGAAAAGGAAGAATAGAGAAGAGAAAGCAGCAAGCTTGTGTCTGCTATTTATAATCACCTGACAGGCTCACAGAAAATGGCAGGAAAACTTGACTTGGTCACGCGCTGGAAAAATATTTGTACGTGGATGGATTGCAATGCCCACTTGTATGTTTATTGAGCACTTAGAAGTTGATGTTTCCTGAAAATATTTACTAAGCTGAGTAGGCTCTCTGATCCACTTTTTGCACAAAAATGTAAAAAATTTTAACATTGATAAGAAAGTGGTAGTGGGATGCTACAATAAGAATCAAAACAAAACTATCACCCCTGGAAGAGTATGGAGAGCCATTGGCAAAACAAAAGTAGTTTTAAATATTTGCTTCAAAGTAGCCAAACATTAATTCACAAAGACCAACTGGAAATCTGAACAGAAACAAAGGTAGATAAAAATTGCCATTTTATGTCACAATAGTATCTCCCATCAGAATGCCAAAACTGATATTACAAAAGTTGAATCAGTTGGAAACAAAAATACTTATTGCACTCTACCTGTCTACCTTACCTTTGTATGGATTTCAAGTATCTCTATCTAGCTCACTTTCCAAGAGGCAAGACCTCTTTTCAGGGTCAAATATAGAAAGGCTGAGAGAAATTTGATAAATTATTTCTTGTCAATAAATGTTTTAAAAATTATTTTGTTTAACAATTAAAAGTTGATGTTAACTTATAAGAGTGGCTCTTGCAGTGTGTCTCACTGGCAATGGTTCAAGGTAATGCTTTCTCCATCGTTGCGGCTGGCAGAGGATAGCAAAAAAAAAAAAAAAAAAAAATTACTTATATAAGAATTAGGCGAAAGTGGATATTTCACGGCATCCTGCCTGTTCCACCATTTGGCAAGGTGCTGTACAATTGGCATTGTAACCAGAAATAATCATTTAAGATCAGCCAGATCAGACCGAAAACAAAGTATGCTGTATCCAGCTGGAACTGTCCAGTTGTCACACAAATTAATAAAAGTATATATCCATTTATTCTTCATTTAAGAGAAATAATTATTATCACCCAATGTTGGTGCTGGTGCCTATGAACCCCCATTCCAATTTTTAAAAAAAAGTTTAAAAAATTAAAAAAAATATGCTGATATCAATGACAAAGTTTCAAACTTGTAAACAACAACTAAGTGTAATAACTCTGTAAAAAGTCATGGATTGATTTTTACCTTGTATTTATATTGTGAACAGAACTCCTCTTTTAAATCGATAAATCATCAATATTTTTTGCTTCTGACAAACGTGGCTAGAGGAATCCTAATCTATAAAAATTCTTCTGCCTAAAAATGTCTATTTAAGTAGTAGTAATATTTTTTCTTTTCAATGAATTTTTAAGTTGATTTTCTTGAAATAAATGAGAAATTTCATATTGAGCAACAATACATGAATAATTCTTTGTCCACATATTCGTTCTTTGTATGAATTTTTCATGGGAATTTTTGACACAGGCCAAAAAATAAACTTACAACCAAAATTATGTTCATCATAAAATATTCACTATATATAGTGATGGTTTTTCTGATGACATTTTTATATAAAGTGTGATTGCAGCAGTCCTTGCTAAATTAAGGCAACTTTTTTTATCTCTAAAAACTTTCACTTTACTGAAAAAAAAAATTGCTTAATATAAAAGCATTTTCAGATATATGTGAATGATCTAGTCAATCATTTTATAGGAGAAAAATATACACAAATGCCAAGGTTTGTCAGTCAGTGCTATGTGTGATACAGGCTTTGGCGATCATGTATCTTTCAATACATGACTGACGAGGCAGATTTTTTTCCCACAGTAGGTTACTATTTCTTTCTGTGGTAGACCAGTTGCCATCTAAGGCTATAGAACCTGGTCTGTCCTGCTATTTACGCATAGCTCGGGGGAGAAGAAGAGGATTCATATCTTTCTCAAGGGTATTAGCACATAAGTGAATGTAATGGATCTGACTGTATTTCAAAGTTGGCTCTCCGATTCCTAAATCTGAGCTGCTATCCATTACTCCAGTGTTGTTAAGGGTAGTAAAGATTCATAATACAAAGAATCATAGGTCAGATAAGAACCACCAACCAAATAGCACATTGACAGCAACACCAAAATCTCTTTCAAATTCCATTTGATGGCCTCTCAAAACCTGGAGCTTATATATGATCAAGATGCCTATGACTGGTCAGATCAAGTACCAAGTTCTCTATGAAAGATTGCTAGAAGCAAAGTCCAGGGGATTTGAATGAGAAAAATAAAGAAAAAGAAAAAAGAAAAATGATCAATACTCACCTGTGATTTCCTGTAATTTCTAAGTCGACTACTGTTTTTTCTTTTTAAGCAAAAAAAAGGATAAAAAGAATGACAAGTAAAAAAGACAGACATATATATATATATATATATATATATATATGAAGAAATATAGTCTTAAGGTTTGCTATATTTATGGGATAAAGTGCCCAACATCAGAGATAGAATGTGTGTAAATATAAATGTGAACATTAAAGTCAACACTTAGAGGTGACAGGCTGTTTCATGCTAGACGTAATCGGGAGGCCAGGAGTGTTACGTCTAGCATGAAACAGCCTGTTGCCTCTAAGTGTTGACTTCAATGTTCACTTACATATATATATATATATATATATATATATATATATAATGGGGAGTCAAAATTGTTAAAACTAGTATGAGAGGATTAGTCAAAATTATGTTAACACTAGTATGAAATAAAGGATTGCGTGTATAGCAAAAAAGTTATATAAATTGAAGAATTGTACTGTTGATTGCTGTTTTTTGTGCATCAATTGTGCTGATGGATAGGTGGGGACTGTTCAGTAAACTCTGAATAAATGATTCCTCTCAGACTCGTGTTAACATAACTTTGACTCACCCTGTATATATATATATATATATCTCCTTTCACACTTGATTTTCTTTCCTAGAGTTTTAGGTTTCTGGTCATCATCTTGATTACAACAAAAAATGAACAAATCCAAATAATACATTTGCCACTTTCACTCTTCTATTTTCTTTACATTTCCTTCTTTGCCTCCCCCCTTCCCTATTCTTCACTCATGTCACGTCTATTAGCAGTCTGAGCTTCTTTTCTCATACACTTTTATTCTTGGAACCATTTCCCCCATAATGCAACTCACATCTCTTTCATCTAAAAAAAAATTCCCCTCCCACTGTCTTCAGTTTTTTCTCATTTTCTTCTTTGATGGTGACCCATTGGCAGGAAAAAAGGTAAATTTACATAACTCATTTTTTCTCCCTTTCTTCTTCCCCCTTCATTCAAACAACATTTTTTGATCATGTTCAGTGGAGAATACATGCAACAAATGGCTATTTCAGTCAGTGAAGCAAGTTTGTTTGCTACACATTTTCATCTTGACTTATGTGCTTTTTTATAGCTAATTTCAATCTGTGGTTCACAAAATAACTATGATGAATTGTGACATGATGAATAATAAATTCATATTTGAAAAATATTAGGACAAGAATTCTGCAGGCAGTATTTGTGGTAAAATTGATCCGACACAGTCATCCACTTACAGCAGTGGTTCCAAAATTTTTTTTCTATGGGCTGCATTTTCGAAATGAAAATTTGCTTGTGCTTCACCAAATTTTATGTTTTTACTGATTAAAAGTACATTTAAAAATAAAAAAAAAAACAGAGAGAGGGCTAAAGGGAGATTGAAGTCGGAACATTATCACTGATAACTCTCTCCTCCAATTTGCGGACCCTAGTTACTATATTCTTAATACTTGATATAATGCAAAAATATCACAATGATAATTAGTCAATACTCATTTATAACTTTTTATACTGGGACTCATGCATGCAATTACAAGTAATCCATAATAATATTTTAAATTTTGAAATCATACTTATTTTGAGCTTATAAATTTTTGAAACTGTTTCTAAATCTTTGATTGTCTTTCAATCATTCTGCCTCACCTGCTATCTTCTTCTGCCACACAGTTTGGGAATCACTGGTTTACAGGATAAGATTTTTTTTTCTTTTCATAAGGAGACCTATAAGAATACTTTCATTGACTGAAGCCATTTCATTTGTGGCATTTAAATATTTACATTACAAGAGATTTTCTGGTTAAAGGAATGGAATAATCCATAATGGAAAGAAGAGAGAAGAAAAGTGAGATGGAAAGGAACATAAATTAAATTGTGGGTATTACCCCCACTTTATCCACCAGGACACTGTAAGGTGGTGCTGTTTCAGGACTATAAAAGAAAATTATAATAAACCCCGCTTCTTTTTTTACTTTAGAATGTAGTAGTAAAAACAAGACTTAACTCTGATGAAGGAAATTCTTTTGTTTGATAAGCTGTCATCATAATTTTATCCAGTTGTGTGGTATATCTCAATCTCACACACATTTTCTTATAACACAGCTATAATGTCTTTCTTCCTGTTTCAGTTATCTATGTACACACAAGTATATTTTTTCTCTCTATGAATTATGTTATTATATATATATATATATATATATATATATATATGTAAATTTATATATATTAATAGCCAAGTGAAGACATATATACATAAATAAATATTTACTTTATTATTTAAGCACTAAAATTAATTACTTAAAAAAATATGAAATACAATTGTTATTCTTTATATATATATATATATGTAAATTTCTGCCTTTTGAATATGTTTAACTCAGTTACTTTGAAACTTTGTTCAATACAAATTGTGGCACTATTCACTACAAAAGAGAGAAAAACAAAAACAAAACAGAGAAAAGAAAGAAAGAAAAAAAAAAAGGAAGAATAGTTTGGTTAGAGACAAAAAGAAAAATCTGACAATGATAGCAAATGAATGAAAAGAGAGAAACAAGAAGGAAAAAAAGAAAGATGAATGAAAATGTGAAGAAAGCCAGAAATAAAATAAAAAGAAAAGAGTAAGGGAGAGAAGAAGAAAATTAGAATGAAAGAATTTTTTAAGAAAATATGCAAGAAGAAGTAGGGAAAAGAGAAGTAAAGAAAAAACAGAAGAAAGAGAAAAAGAATGAGAAAGAAAGTGAAAGATGGAAAATAAGAGTAATAGACATATGTGAATATGTTTAAAAAAAGAAAAAGAAGTATAACAATGAATGAATTTGTGTGAAATTGAATGCAACTAGCCCAGAATTTGAACTTGGTTTACTGATTCCACTTTTTACACCAATATCCATTTCACCATCCACACAATAGATAGATTATTCTTGAACTGAAACATGTTTGCAATTGCACATGATTTCCTCTTACTTATGCTATGCGAAATCTGTGTAATATGGAAAATAGAGGGGAACATATTCCGAGAGAAATTGGTAGTGAGAGAGGAACATATACCAAAAGAGACTGGTAGTGAGAGGGGAACACAGTCTGAGAAAGACTATTAGGGAGACAGGAACAGGTAGAGATAGGTGAATACACTGAGATAGATAGGTAGATAGACAGAAATAGGCTGAGATAGACATGTATATAGAAAGGAACACACTGAGAGAGACAGGAATAGTCAGTGTGTTTCTTTGATTTGATTCAAACTTTCTTATCAAACCGCCTTAATGAATATTGTCTTGAATGGCCACTCCTCTAGACCATTAATATGAATGTCTTCCAGGGTTGTGTTCTTGGACCTACTTCGTTCTTATTTTCTTCAATAACCTTCCTGGTGTCATTAATTCCGGACTCAGTATCTATGCTGATGACAACTATTTACTCCTGTATTAATAATAATTGATAAAATCAAATTGGCAGCTGATAAAAAAAATGACCTTCAATCTGTTGTTAACTAAGGCAAGAAGTAGTTTGTTAACCAAAATTAAACTGCTCTCTATTAAGCAACTTAAAGAATTTTTTTCTTCTATCAGCATGGCTGATGCTAACCTTCAGGAGAGCAATTCACTGCACCTTCTTGGTCTCATGTTTTCCAATGACATGAAGTGGAATGATTACATTGAATCAATCGCTAAGTCTGTGATTAGGAAATTTGCTTCACTATGTCATGCTAGACAATCTCCTTGGCACATTTATAAGTCTATCATTTGTCTGTGCATCAAATATTGCTGTCACATCAAAACTTCTGCTATATACCTAGAGATTCTTGACGTAATCCAAAGAAGAATCTGCAATGTTATCAGTCTTGACCTGGCATAATGTAGCTTCCCTCTGCCTTTACTATAAATATATTCACATTGTTCTGAGCTTTGCTCCTTGGTACATTGTCAGTGACGTCTCATAATTTCACTGATGATATTGCTACTTGTAACCATGTTTTATTCTAGCAGTTTCTTCTCTCGCACTTTTTGCCTGCAGAAGTCTCTTCCAGCTTTCTGCTTTGCTGTCAAATATGATTTCCATAAATTTAAATGCAATGTCAATCATCATCTTGTCTCCAGTTCTTTTATTGTCCTATATTTTTCTCACTGTTAGTAACCCCTTGCATTGTAGTGGCTTTTATCACCATGCTTAGGGTGGATTAATTCAAAAAAAGTAGGTAGAGAGATAGGAACACACACTAAGGTATATAGGGAGAGAGATGGGAACACACACTGAGATAGATAGGTAGAGAGATGGGAACATACAATGGGGGAAACAGGTAGAGAGATGGGAACAGACATTGAGAAGGGTAGGTAGAGAGATGGAAACACATGCTGAGAATCACAGATAGATGGGAACATACACCAAGAATCGTAGGTAGAGAGATGGGAACACACGCTGAGATGGATAGGTAGAGAGATGGGAACACGCACTGAGATGGATAGGTAGAGAGATGGGAACACGCACTGAGATGGGTGAGTAGAGAGATGGGAACACACGCTGACATAGAGGGAAGGGACCACACATTTAGATAAGTAGGTACATAAATTGGAACTGACCGAGATAGATGGATGGAGATTGACTAAGATAGATAGAAAGATGGGAACTGACTGAGATGGATAGATAGACGGGAACTGACTGAGATGGATAGATAGACGGGAACTGACCGAGATGGATAGATAGACGGGAACTGACTTAGACAGAGGGGAACAGCTGGGGTAGAAAAATTGGTTGAATGAAGAGAACTATTTTGTTAGATTAGTGGACAGTTTGTGAAAGATAGATGCAGAGATAAAACAACCAAATAGATAGATACATAAAAATGGCGACTGTAGATTGTAGGTAGACAGACATTTATATGTGAACAGAGATATTAAAAAAGACAGATTGACACACACAGTTGCATACAAACAAATCTTTTATTCTTTCCATTTTGATAAATACAAAAGAAAGAAGACATAATTTTTGTTGAATGCGATAAGCAATTTATGTTGTTTCTTAAGTAAAATTCATTGTCAGTGTTGTTTCTTCAGTTATCAAATCTTTACAAAATGTAATAAATAAATAGCTTTTTTTTTATTAATTTATTTTCATTTAACGTATGTCCTCATTATAGAATTTTTTGAAAAACTTTCATTATTACTAAAATTTTCTCTCCCTTGGACTCACAATTCATTTTTTGTTTTAAAGAATTTTGGGTTAATTTGCAGTATAAACACCAAAAGTCCACAGTAATGAAAATGTTCCATTATGGTATGAAATTGCCAGATTATTTCGAAAATGACATTAAGAGTTTGTGCTCTATTACCATTTAGGAGTTATGGACAATGTAACTTTGATTTCTTTTGTGTTGCATTGACAGAACGGTTGCCATTACTGGCTTTGTTTATATACGTTTGCTTTGAGTAGTCATGCACAGAAACTTCACTTGTCTTGATTACTGTGCAATGCATGAGGTTTAAAATGAATGCGTGATTCCAAATATAGCAGTAAAAATGAAAAAAGTGAAAAATAAACTCAAAATTGGAAAAAGTGATCACCCATGACATATATTTAGAAAAGCTTTCAATTGTTTCTATAACAAATTTAAACCAATTTAATAAAAACAAAGAATTCATTAGTTAATAAATCTCCACTTCTAACAGGAAACAATAATTTTTAATTGGAAAAAAAAAAGAAGAATTTATTATAAAAAAAGCTCTTCATTTAAAAGCTTCATTTTAGAAAAAAAGCGCATTTTAAAATAACATCCACGAAAATTGCGTAGTAATCAAAACGTGTAAGAAGATACGAAAAGCAGTAAAAAGGCTGTTAACTAAATAAGCTTCCGCGCATTATTTTTCGAGGCAAACGTATGTAAACAACGCCAGTAATGTCGGTCGGACAACGCGAAATAGATCGAACTTAGATTGTCAATAAATCTTAAACGATAATCGATCGCAAACTTTTATTCTCATTTTTTAAATAATCAGACAATTTCACACCATAATGTAACATTTTCATTACCGTGGGGTTTTGGTGCTTATACTGCAAATTAACCGAATTTTGATTGCCTCTCTTAAAAACTTTCATTTCGCAAATGATGTTTGTCTATTTATCACGCTGTTTGATGCAATGTATTTTTTTTAAATTCATCCTACCGTGAAAAAGAAAAATTGATAATAATACCTTTTTTCTTTTTAGAGAGACAAAGATGGCGGTATGAACAATTGAAAAATGAAATAGAGAGAAATAATAAAATTTATAATAAATAAAATAAATCATTACATAATAAATTTTATTATTTTTTTCATTATTAACATTTTCTATATTATTAATAAATATCCAAGTTTAATATGAAGTATATGGTATTTTAATATTTATCTTCACTTCATTTTTTCTTTAAAAATTTATTGGCAGAAAAACATTTTCCATAAACAAAAAAAATGTAAACAATTTTTGTTTTACTTGTAAAAATTCAAGTAAATATTTTCTACTAAAATATTCGGATGTTCTCTCTTAAGAGGACAGTTTTTGTTTTGTTTTTACAGAAATCGATGAAACTTTTTATTATTTCTACAGAAATAATAGGAATTTTACTTCAATCTATTTGTATAAAAAGAATGGGAGGAAAAAAACAACTTGTATTTTTATAGAAGAAATGACGTCAAAAAAACCCCCGAAGACATTCGGTTTTTTATGTGTAAATGCAGATAACTTGTTTTTTTTTTTTTTTAAATTAGAATTTATTTATCATTTTAGTAGTTTTCTCTAAATGTTGTCTCGCCTAAATTGAATAAATTAATGTTAGAATGTCATTCAAATATTCTATATTTGAATAATAATAATAACTATAAATAACAATAACATAATGCATGAAAAATTCGCTTGAACCATAAACTAAGTTTAATGCTATTCTGTTCTTTAATTTTTTTACATATAATGAAACGTTTGCTCATAAATAAATCAGTTTCAATGTTTAGCGAAATAGACTGGAAAAACGGTACATACGTTTTCTATACTTTTATTAACCAGAAGAGGAAAATCCATTACCATGACGCCATATTCCAAATCCCTATCTACCCACTTTAGCTAAGGGAGCTAACAATTATAGTTAAATAAAACGGGAGGTAAGCAGGGTGTATTTTTTAAAATTTTGTTTGCACATCTACTCGATTGGAATATGTGATATGTTTTTTACATGTTGAAAAGAAGAAAAAAAAATAGTCAAGTTTCCTCGTCTTTTGGGGACGCCTTAGAAGCTTAGGAGGAGGTTTTCTCTTTCTCTTCCTCTTTTGTTGAACTCTCTGCTTCTTGACGGAGAGGAACCCATACGAGCCTATGTCGAAGGTCAGGGTCTTGTTTGGGGAGGTAGACAAACATTTTTTGCTTGAGTCTACGGGCTCGGGACGCCCCACGTTAAGAACTAGCCTTTGTACCACATCTTGCCTTGTGGGGAGGTTGGTAAATAAATAGAGAGGCCAGGGATAACTGTAGAGCGCTTTCGCTTTCGCTCTCTCTCCCTCTCCTCTCTCTCTCTCTCTCTCTCTCTCTCTCTCCTGACTGGAGGGATGACCTCCTTGGACCAGACTTTGACATTCACGTTGCAAGGCCGAGAGGCAATAGAAAAGTAAACACAATAAATCAAAACAACTCAACCAACAATAATTAAATACTAGATATATAGTTACATTTAGAATTACTCACTTTGTCATGATATTCCCATTTTTGTATTCTTTGGTCGACCCACAGTCTACGTATGGGATTAAAAGTGAAAACGGAAATACATGCACGTTTCATCATTACTATAAATAAACAAAAAAAATCAGAATATATTGAATAAAGAAAATCAGTAGACCATTAAGACAGATTTCTACGAATTCAATTAGAAACATAATTTACTTTCAACAAGTATACGATGTCACAGTCTAGCGAGCCAATCAGAAGCCAAGCGGCAATTTACAAGTAAAATTGTGAGTTTGGGGTCAAATATAGATCAGATATTGGTCAGAAGTCGACAAGAGGACAAGATAAAGAATAGGTAAAGAAAGTGTATACAGTATTTCTCGTATGTTTTTTTTTTAATTATAGATGTGTGCAATGAGTGTCCAGATAATTTAGTTGTAAAAAACACAGGAAGTGTCTGGGGTTTTCTTATCGCGATTTTTTACTTGCATTATTTACATTACACTTGCATTGTTTTAAATTGAAGAACTGATGGGTATATACATATTTTTTATATATATATATATATATATATATATATATATATATATATATTGAATTAAATTGAAGAACTGATGAGTATATATATATATATATATATATATATATATATATATATATATATATATATATATATAAATAAAAAAAAACCGATGGGTATACATATTTTAAGCACTACTTAAGTAGACTGATCCACTTGTAAAACAATTTAGAAGAGGATTTAAAATAATTATTATGTCCCAATATTTGTGCATCTGATTCTGAGATCCGCGCCCCTAAAATGTTAAAGGAAAGTTGTAAAATTAAAAAAAAAAAAAAAAAAAAAATGCGCACATATCAATGCTCGAAAAAGTACAGTTTCAAAATTGATATTTGTAAATAAAATCAAAGTTCAGATAACTCTTTAAAATGTTAGGGATCTATTTTACACTGTTATTATGAACAGGACCCGTTCTAAATCGATAAAAATCGATATGGTTTGAGGAAAGTCTAATTAATGATAATCTACAAAATAAATTACCTGAAAAAAAGGTCCCTATTTTTTACGAGTGGACCAACTGGTGTACCTGTTGCAGGGTCGCTCGTATGTTTTTTTGAGTAAATATTTAGGCACTATCATGTTGCGGTAATCAGCACTTTGGCTAATAAATATTTCCGGGTTCCTGGAAAAATGTATCCCACAAGCAATATTGGCGGACACAATGTGAGTCCAAGTAAAAAATGAGTAACACAAAAAACAATATAAAACGAAAACTAATTTCATATATTGACAAAGGGAATAAAAGAAAACATTTTAAGACAAATCACATAGAAAACATTTAACCCAGATAATAAGAATGGATTTGCTTGTGTGTGTTTAGCATCCTGCTACCACTTTTCTGTCAATTTTTGTGCAAAAAGTGGATCACAGGGCCTTGATATTTTTCTCACTTCTCATTGGTCAGTTAATATTAAAATCATATTCTCGCCTACGTCCGTACAACGCCTATGCGTTATTCAAAACCATTTTCCCGCCAAAACTCAGAAATGCTCTTTCGTGTCTATCACGTGATTAAGTTTATTATAAATACTGTGTCACAAGTTCTTTCTTCCTCTTTTTGATTACCCTCGCTTACTAAAATGTAGCTGTTTAAGAAATCGTGTTCCGACCCCCTGCGGACGGACGCTATGAAAACATTCCCACACACGCGCACATACACGTACATACGAAAACTTCATTACGAACATTACAGAACATTACTAGCATCAACATATTACGAATATTCAACTAAAAGCAATGGAAACTTAATTACAAACATTACGGAACATTCACTCCTTCAACTCTTCTAAAGCTAAAGGTTTACTTAACATACAGAATTCTTTCAACTCTCTCACAGTGAACATTTTGAGAGGCAAGATCATTCAACCTTTTATGAGCTCAGATAAAAAGCATTCCGTTATTACAAACTTTAATTCCAGTCAAAGGGAAGTAACCCCTATGCATGTACATCATTACAGATATAAATATAAATATTTTTTGTTTGTTATAAAACCGTTTTGTGTTCCTTCTTATTGTTTCATATTTTGTGTTATTTTGCGTTAAATATAAATTCGAGAGGTCACACCAACTAGCCGGCCTCTACACCACTAAGACATACGCAGAACTATATATACATATGTACACGAGTTCCACGCGGAAAATAATATATCACGTATATCTACATAGCGAGTAGGGTATAAGGAGAAACAAAAAATAAGGTTCTTACATATAATATGGAGATACATCTGTGCCTGGAGAATGCATGTTTAGGAATCTAGATTCAAACGGACCAGATTCATCTACTATCTCCAAGGCGAGGACATATTCCACGAAACGGCGAGTCTTGGGTTTCTTTCAACACTCTCACAGTGGGACCAAAGAAACGTCAACCAGACATATCGCCACCACGCTAAAGAAATTTAACTTGGCTATTCCAGTTTTCCCCATTTCTTCACCAGCAAGAAAATACTTAAAAAAAAGTCTTCTGAAGCTAAAGGTTTATTCAACATATTTCAGCTTTACAGAATTCTATCAACTCTCTCACGGTGAATATTTTGAGCGGCAAGTTCATTCAACTTCCTATGAGCTCAGAAATGAAATATTTCCTTAGTAAAGACTTTAATTCCAGTTAAAGGGAAGTAACTCCTATTAATTATGCTTGACATACATGACATACATAAATATAAATTAAGTTTTTGTTATAAAAACCGTTTTGTGTTCCTTCTTATTGTTTCATATTTTGTGGTATATTGCGTTAAATATAAATTCGAGAGGTCACACCAACTAACAGACCTCTAAATGTGTGCGTAACAAGCGCGTGTGCGGTAGTACGAAAGTCAGGAGAGGAAAATAAAACCATGAAAATGAAGCGGAAGTTATGCGTGGAGCCTCCTTGGTTTTTGCTATTTGAAAGGGAGGACACCTTTTTACCCACGTGCGATTACATCTTATAGCCAGAAGCTGTAAAAGAGAAAAAGATAGAAAAATGGTTGAATTAAGTTATAGGGCATAAAATTAGTCGTCTTTACTTGGTTTAAATTCCACAAGCGCAAGGTAGCATTCCAGGAACTAGAGTTAGCAAAATTACCACCACGACAATATTAGATAGCAACAAAAACCTGGGTAGACGGAATCCGACATGCCTTTTTCACATACCTTGATTTATCTTTTTAGTTGGGACCGTTCATTTAGGACTTTCTCACTAACGGCACCGGAACCAACAAGACAAGGACACACAACTCGTGATAACCGGATGTAACAAGGATCAGTAATGACCCATCATTATTGATTATAACACAGATACCTCCACAGAAACGTGATACCTCAGGTTTAAAATTAAATTTAATGTAAAAAAATGAAAAATCTTTCTTGAAGCATTTTTTCAGGCTAATAGATCAAATTTAATATTTCCAATAGGTTAGATATTCCTTTAAAAGTAAAACGCTTGTAGTGCGTACCAATAAAAATAAAATAAAATATAAAAATAAAAATAAATTATATGAATAAAAATAAGAAGAATTAAAATATGGCATTTGCGCTTTCCTTTAAAATCCTTATCTCTTTATTTCTCTCTCTCTCTCTCTGAACTTCTCTTTCTGTACTTCTCTTAACCCCCGAGAAGGCAACCCTCAGATAAAAAGAGGAAGAAGAAGAATAGACTGAACTCGGCCAAAAAACGCTGGAAGTTTGCAGGAACAGAGCCTATTTATTTGTGACTGAAAACTAACAAAAATCAGGGAGGCTCCTCGCATAACTTCCATTATAAATATATTGAAAAAAAGAAAGGAATGCTAGAAAATAATTTTGACAAACAAGAATAAATTACAACACAAAGAGACAAAGAATTCAAATTAAAATAACGTATTTGCGCTTTTCTTTAAATTCCTTGTCTCTTTTTTTTTTCTCTAAACCTCTCTTTCTATACTTTTCTCAACTTACAAGAAGGCAGCCCTCAAATAAAAAGAGGAAGAAGAAAAGACTGAACTTGGCCGAAAAACAACGGAAGTTTGCCGGAGCAGAGCCTACTTATTTTACTTGACTGAAAAATGGCAAACATCAAGGAGGCTCCACGCATAACTTCCATTATAAAAAGATGATAAAGAAAGGAACGCCAGAAAATAAAATAATATGGGCCAATCAAAAAAAAAAAAAAAAAAAAAAATGACACAAAGAGACCTTTGATGTTAGCCGAAAGCAATGTTCGTGCCAAATCCTCGAGCCTGGCCAAAAGTATATAAACCTGATACTTCTGGTCTGGAGTCAGATGGGAAGAAGACAGGACGGAACGAAAGAACGCTACCGTAGAGAAACCAGCCATGTGTGACGTGTCAAGAAGTAGTTAAGAAGTCAACTGCTAATGATATTTATGCCCTTCATAAAAGCAGTAGATTGACACTGAACGATTTCTAAGATAACTACGACTACTATCAAGTGCTGACTCCAAGCACTCGAATATCAGGCTGAAATGGACCTTTCTCCAGACTGCTACCAATACCCACCTTATTAACGAAATTTTTGTTACCAAAGGACTAATTCATCACTCTAAAGAAAATAAATAAAAATATATTATTTATTTTAAACCCTTGTGTCAGATCTTTTAATTTACAATATCCATAAACTTAATAAAAAAAATAATGTCGCCTGCGAAGTCCCATTGCGGCTAATCTGGAGATCAACAGCCCTCTTACTTTATGACAAGATCTGGATCTTCAACACCAACGTCAAGTCGGTCCTACTTTACGGCTCAGAAATCTGGCGGGTAACCAAGACCAACATCCGCAAACTTCAGACATTTACCAACTGATGTCTGAGGAACAGCCTCAATGTTAGATGACCGGAAGTCGTCTCCAGCGATCAACTGTGAGACAGGACTAGACAAGCCCCAAATCGAGATTGACATCAAGAAATGGAAATGTGGATGGATTGGCCACACACTTCGCAAGCCTCCTTCAAGTGTCACCAGGAAGGCTCTTGATTGGAACCCACAAGGGAAGCGAAAAGTTGGTCGACTACAATAGACTTGGCGCAGAAGTGTTGACGCAGAGGTGAAGGCAGCCGGCACGACATGTGCCGAGCTGAAGAGGATCGCCCGTAACCGCGTCCGTTGGAGAGGTTTTGTTGCGGTCCTATGTTCCCCAAGGAATCAAGAGGCATAAAGAAGAAAAGAATAAAAAACTAAAATTTCGACAGAAATTTCATACGATATTTTTTCTTTCGCTGTTGTTAAGAAAAATTCTAATGAGAATATTTTGTGAAAAAGAATTAAAACTCAAAAAAAAAAAAAAAAAAAATACTAAAAAAATAAAATACAATAAAAAATAACTAAAAACATTGGTTAACAACGAAGAGCTGGTAAATAAATTCTTTTTTTGAAGTCCACATTTGTTCCTTTAACATTACAGCAATAAAATTCAATTTCTATGAATTCTTGAGTCCAACTGGAAAAACTTGAGACCAAAGTTTTCACACCTATGTGAGAAGTCGCACTAGTCCTTTCATTATTACTTTTCATGCACGTGTTTTTTTTTTTGTTTTTTTTTTACATAGAAGGGAGAAAAAGAAAGAGCTGATAGTGAAGGAAAGAATAACGATATAAAGTGTAGGTGGAGCGGTACAATGCCATAAAATCAAAGAGTAATAATAAAAGAAATTCTTGGATATTGGGATTGTCATATTTTTCATTTTATAGTCTGAGAGAAAACTTCTTTCAGATTTGGCAAACTGAATGAAAACACTTCCATCAAGCTTTTGCTTTAAAAAATTTGACATCGCTTCAGCATATAGAAGTAAGTGCTTTTTTAATTTTAAATTTTTTTTTCTTTCTACGGTGGATATATCTGTAAAAATTACTTGAGGAATATAACGTGAGTGCCTTTTTTTATATCATTTTTAACTACCCTGTAATCTTAAAAATTTAGGAAAATATTCTCCACGATCTAATGTTTTATTGAAATTTAAATACTTTGGCTTTACATTTGCTATAGTTATCGTTCTTATTTTCTGATAATGTCGTATATGGATGTCCGTATTTACAAAAATCGATACGTTTACAGTATAAGCATGTATAAAATTTATACACATACAAAAGAATTCAAAATTCTTTTAAAATTATTGGCTTTTCCATTTATGATTAGTAAATATAGTTTGTAGGTTTGGTTTGGTTTGGTTTGTTTTACGGCATATCAACCTCAATGAGTTATTTAATGCCGACAAAATTTTTATTGCTGGTAATAATTTTTCCAAAGATGTATTGTTAGTAATATATTTTTTCCCCAAAAATGTATTGCTTGTAATATATTTCCCTTCAAAAATGTATTGCTGGTAATAATTTTTTCCTTCAAAAAATCATTGCTAGTAATAATATTTTACAAAAAAAAGTATTGCTGGTATTAAAATCTATTTTTAAACTTGCATAGTGTTTTAACTCCAGTTTGTGTGTGTGTGTGTGTGTGTGTGTGTGTGTGTGTGTGTGGTGGGGGATAATTATTTGCCCATAGCTAGGACCCTAACAGGTGCTACCACCTTGGATCAGAGTGGACCTGGGAACACCAGCAATTAAGAGGTGGTTCCACGATCCTCAAAACCTGATCAGAGGCCTTGCTGTCGGACGTAGTTTATCGTCTTACCCAGGACGCGGATGTAATTTATCGTCATACCCAGGACGAGCTGCCGGATGTAGTTTATCGTCATACCCAGGACGGATATAGTTTGTACTTAATAACGTCATCTAACCTTTGCAAGGTAAGAGAAAATTTTAAATTTTTTTAACATTTTATAAATTATTCTAATTAAAAAAAATGAAAACAATTCTTTTAAGAATTCATTATTCATGGAAATTTATTTTTCTTAAGAGACTAGTGTCCATAATATATCTTATTTATATAAGCAATTAAAAGCTTTTCTGATTAAATAATTTCTTAGCTCTATTGCATTTTTTATTTTATAATTCAGATCAGATTTTCTAGAATTAGGGGTCCTATTTTTAAAAAAGAAATTGATGATTTAAATTCTCCAAGGAGTTCTGCTTTTAACTCATATATAAACATTAAGCTTTGCAAAATTTAACTTTTCAACATTTCATAACATTAAATTAGTGGGAATAGTAATATATATATATATATATATATATATATATATATATATATATATATATATATATATATATATATATATATACCAAGATTTTCTAAAAAAACAAAAACGTTGATATTCAAAAATTTAAAATAAATAAATGAAATGCAATGTCAAACGTTCTGTCTTCTTAATTCCTGTTCTTCTATTGTTTTCTCTCCTTAATAATGTATTTCTGTCGTCATATTATCTCACATTCAGTAACCACTGCGTCTTAGTGGCTTTATTGCCTTGTAAGAGGGAAACAATTAAAAAAATTGTTTCTTTTATTTTATTTGATATTAAAAAAAATAGGACAAGGGCAAATAACTTAGGAAATAAATTCTAGACTTATCTCCCATGGCAAAATGGTCATCGTCAACATTATATAATTTCATTGACTTATTCTGCACCCATTGTTATTAAGACCCTTTTACTTTTATAAATTTGTTGCGTTTATGTTGTTTTTCATTAGAGTCAATGCTTCAAAGTGGCTGTCAGGTTATTAGGACTTGCAAAGTCAGATGGTATGTAACTTGATACTGGTAAGGTAAGTGAATCATTTAATGCAAAAGTAGGTATACCCTGAAGAAAAAAAGAGCATACACTGATGAAAAAGACCCCAAACTTGATTAAACAATTTTTTATCGTCTAAGTGTTTATGTTATTATTAAGAGGAAAGACCAAAGGATTTTTTGAATATTTTTTCTAAATTTTTTAATCCTTTTTAGCATGTTCGAAATTTTAGTTAAAAATCTTGTTTTTTGAGTCAGCAAAATTTACATAAAATCGATCATATTAGCCATTTTTGACAACTTTGTAAACAAAATTGAAATTCTCCGTTTAAAAATCTTGTAAAATTCAGTTATACTTTTATCCAAAAGTTATTTAACGACACCTGGAATATTTAAAGTATACTTAATGTAATTTGAAACAAACATTACTTAGTTTTTTAGTAGAAAAAATTTAGTTAGAAATAAGAGAAGCGTATCTAACCGTGGTAATTGGTTTCGGAGGTGTGAATTGACGTTTACGTCAATGTATTGACAACTAACATTAGGGCAATTTATCGGACGGAAGGGCAGAAGTGACAGTATTTTTGAATTTTAAGTGAACCAGCTTATTTAACTATAAAGTAATTCTTAAAAATTAAATACTTTCAAAAGTCTAATATTTTATTGATTTTTTAGGCACATTTTTTTTTAACGAAACTATGTCTAAAGCCTGTAAAGTAGGTATTATACAGTAACCAAAAATCAAGTGTGCGCCCAAACCTATTATATTGATTATACAAATATATCAATAATAATACATATATTCTTCTAGTCGAGAGTGGGCACACATGTCTACTCTAGCACAAACGTTTTTATCAGCATCAATTTCCTGGCAGCCACCCGTATGAACTGAACCATGACATCAACAAAACGGGGCTTGCATGCGAAAACGCTATCCTTTAATGAATGAAATGAATTGTAGTATTAAATGAATCTTAGAACTACTATTATAATCCTGGTTATAGTGGTATAATATTTACTGTATACCTACTTTTGCAGCCCTCTGTAAGGCAGATTTATAAATATATAAAATATCTGTGCATGTGTGTACATACACAGGCACATATATTTTCGGGTATTTCAATTTGTTGATATCTATCTCATTCTCTTTTCCTCTATCTGTCTATCTCGACCTGTTCATATCTATCTATCTATCTCTTCTTATCTGTCTGTCTCGGCCTGTTCATATCTATCTATCTATCTATCTATCTATCTATCTATCTATCTATCTATTGAAGTACTTGCGTGTTTTCCATCGTCTCATATAGAATCCATTTTTTCGATTGTGATTTTCATTGCAAACACATGCCACTTTGGAGCCCGATGCAACATAATCTTTCTCAGTCTATCAATTTATCAATCTATCAATATATTTGTGGAACCCCGTTTTAGAAAAATGTCATAGATTTAAACTCAGAAATTAACTCATCTTTGTACACGGACCGGTTCCAAAAATTAAAATTTTTGTATTCATATATATTAACCAATCAGCGACGTCATATGAGACGCGCAGTTTCCTTTGAACTGGCAGATTAAGATTTGTTGTTAGCTACGAAATTTGGGAGGATTACTTCAGAATATGATCAACAATATTTTCCTTCCTTACAATGGATATTTAAAAATTGGGAAAATATTTATTGGCCAATAATAAATATTAATAAATCTAATTTTTGTCTTTTTATGGAGCCGATGTTTCGTTATAAAAACGATCAATTTTAGTTCGCTAGTTTAGTTTTTCACTTACCCTTTGACCAGTTTTTTCCATACAAAACTGAAATTCTCACACTTAATTAATTAGTAACATCTTTAGCATATTTATTCGAGTATAAAATATTACAAAAAATGCTTAGCGATATTGACACATAAAAAATAAAACATGCAGTCAGTCAGTTATGTGCCATGCGTGATACACGATTAGGCGATCATGTATCTTTCGATATATGACTGACGAGGCAGATTTTTTTTCTCGCAATAGATTGCCATTTCTTTCTGCGGTGGACCAGTTGCCGTTTAAGGCTATAGAACTTGGTCTGTCCTGCTATTTACCCATAGCTGGTGGGGGAGAAGAAGAAGATTCGTATCTTTCCCAAGGGTATTAGCACATAAGTGAATGTAATGGATTCGACTAGTATTCTAACTCGGCTCTTCGATTCCTCAATCCGAGCTGCTATCCATTACTCCACGACTAAGTTTATTTACGAGCGTCAACAGTAAGACAGCACAACCGCCTATTCATGTTGCCGACTACTACAATTTATACGCATACATAAAACAACATGCATCCGTGTCACACACATTCTCACATGTAGCTGTGAAAATCAGTGAGCCGAGTTCGAATTCCAGTCGAGTTCTTTACATTCACTTACGTGTTTATATCCTGGGTAGAGGTATGAATCCATCTCTTCTCCTCACAGCTATGGATAAAACAGCAGGACATGGTCTTATAGCTTTGGGTGGTAACCAGTCTAAGAGAAGTAAACTCTGAATTCAAACCAAAAAGGGCCCCAGAATGAAAGAAAGAAAAAGTAGACAACTGAAACGAAACCTTGACATAAAGAATAAGAGTGACGTACTAAAAGTTAAATAGAAGTTGAAAAAACAAACTCAAGGGAAGGCAAAGAGAATGAGGCGTTATGAAAAAAGAAACAGATTCTTTTGGCAAAAGAAGATCTTGAAAGAAGATGCCAAAGAACTATATCGAAAACTGGGAAAAAAATAAAATAGAGATAAATGACCCAATATCCAGGAAGTCGAGGAGTTCTGGTAGGAAACTGCAAAATAGATTAAACATTCACATCGAGGGGCTAAATGCCAACAACCCAGAGGAGACACATTCAGAGGAACAAATAGAAACCAGTTGTAATAATCCTTCTGAGGTACACGAAAATTAGAGGGAGAAAATGACGAATATAAGAGAAACAGAAATGTCAAAAACATCCGTTATAAATAGGAGAATGTAAAGGAAATGTCTTTCGAGGAAAGGCCAACAATTCCAAAACTAACAAAGACCTGTCAAATGAAGAAAACCATCAATCTTGCTAAACAAGCAATTAGAATGGACGATATAGAAAGACGGCTGAATCTGACATAAATTAATCATTTTATATACGCGGCCTCGGGAACGCTCAGAGAAAGAACAGGTAAAAAAGTAAAAACACAACATAAACGAACAAGAAAAAAAAAATGCCAGTCTGGAAAGAAAAAATAGAAACCGAAGTAAATAAATTATGAGGACAATTGTAAAATAGACAAGGGCTCCAAAATGAAAAAAAAAGAAACAATTGAAATATAACCTTGACATAAAGAATAAGACTGACGTATCAAAAGTCAAAGAGAAGCTGAAACAACAAAATCAAGCGAAGGCAAAGAGAATGAGGCGTTATGAAAAAAGAAACAGATTCTTTTGGCAAAAGAAGAACTTCAAAGAAGGTGCCAAAAAACTTTATAGAGAAATATGAAAAAATAAAATAGAGATAAATGACCCACATAATATCCAGGAAGTCGAGGATTTCTGGTGGGAATGTGGAAAATGCACAATGAAAGAGCTAGATGGATCAAGCAACAGCAGGAAACCAAAAACTGGAAAGAACCAGAAATAGACTGAATAGCCAATTTGGGGATAAAAACCTATCTAGCACCCACCAAGACCTCGCACAGGAATACAATGATATAATCATAAACCCAGAAAAATGTCCCAAATGGCTCACGGGGAGAGTAACATACCTACTCCCAAAAACAACAGAGACGCAGAACCCGAAGACCTGCCTACCAACGATATACAAGATCCTCACATCTATCATAACCGAGTGGACATACAACTTCTTTGAGAAAAACAATTTACTCTTTAGCAAAACTGAAGGGATGTAAAATACGAAGTTACGAGGTGCAAATGCTAAATAATTATCAATAAAATATATTGGAAGAGGGAAAACAAAAAAAGAAACTTATCGATAACATGTATTGACTACAGAAAGGTGGTTGACAATGTACCATACTCATGGAGAGAAAAGAGCCTAAAAATATACAGGGTATACCCCACGACAGTCAAATGCATAACAGACAGCATAAAAAACTGGAAGACTATACATAGAGAGGAACAAATAGAAACCAGTTGTAATAATTCTTCTGATGTACACAAAAAATAGAGGGAGATAATGATGAATATGAGAGAAACAGAAATGTCAAAAACATCCGATATAAATTGGAGAATGTAAAGTAAATGTCTTTCGAGGAAAGGCTGACAATTCCAAAACTAACAAAGAACTGTCAAATGAAGAAAAGGATCAATCTTGCTAAACAAGCAATTAGAATAGACGATATAGAAAGACGGCTGAACCTGACATAAATTAATCAGTTTATATACGCGGCCTCGGCAACGATCGGAGAAAGAACAGGTGAAAAAGTAAAAACACAATGTAAACGAACAAGAAAAAAAAATGCCAGTCTGGAAAGAAAAAATAGAAACCGAAGTAAATAAATTGTGAGGACAATTGTAAAATAAACAAGGTCTCCGGAATGAAAAAAAGAAAAAATTGAAATGAAACCTTGATATAAAGAATAAGACTGACGTATCAAAAGTTGAAGCTGAAACAACAAACTAGCCAATGTTAGATGTGACATCATCAGGAAAAAAGAACACCTGACATAGAACTCGAAAGCATCTGAGAAACATCAAAAATAGATTAAACGTTAACATCGAGGGGCTAAATGCCAACAACCCAGAGGAGACACATGCAGAGGAACAAATAGAAACCAGCTGTACTAATCCCTTTGAAGTACACAAGCAAATAGAGGAAGATAATGACGAATATGAGAGAAACAGGAATGTCAAAAACATCCGATATAAATGGGAGAATGCAAAGGAAATATCTTTCGAGGAAACGCCGGCAATTCCAAAAGTAAGAAAGAGCAATCAAGTGTAGGAAACTATCAACCTCGTTAACCAAGCAATTAAAAAAATAAGGGACGAGACAGAAAGACCGCTGAACCTGACAGAGATTCATCATCTTATATACGCAGTCTCAGCAACAATCGCAGAAACAGTAGGCGAAAAAGTCAAAACAAAGGAAACGAAAAAGAAAAATGCCAGTTTGGAAAGAAAACAATAGAAACCAATATAAATAAACTAGGATGACAATTGTTATTTCTAATTGAAGTAGACAAGGGCTCCAAAATGAAAGAAAGAAGTAGACAACTGAAACGAAGCTTTGACATAAAGAATAAGACTGACGCACTAAAAGTTAAAGAGAAGCTGAGACAACAAATTCAAGCGAAGGTACAGAGAATCAAGCGTTGTCAAAAAAGAAACAGATTCTGGCAAAAGAAGAACTTCAAAGAAGGTGCCAAAGAACTATATGGAGAACTGGGAAATCCCGCTACCACCTTTTTTCTTATCAATATCAATGTTTGTAAAAAAAGTGGATCACAGAGCTTATTCAGCTTAATAAATATTTTCAGAAAACTTCAACTTCTGATTGGTCACTTATTATTTAAATCATGCCCGAATATCAATGTCAATTTCTGTGCAAAAAGTGGATCACAGAGCTTATTTAGCTTAATATATATTTTCAGAAAATCTCAACTTCTTAATGTTTAAGTCATGTTCGAATAACATCGACCTAGTTCTTGACCTGACAAAAAATAATTCCGCCAAAATCTGTCAAGCCTCTGTGAGCCTAACACGTGACCAAATTTAGCAATAAATATGAAACGTCTTTCATCTTCGACAGTGAGACGATTGGAATCCTTTGAACTCGTCACACAGTTCCAGGCTTTAAGTTAAAGTTCCTTAACATAATTTCAGCCTGAAAGAAAACTCACTCACACAGCAATATTTTATCATGAACAATCAACTCAAGTTTTTCACATTTAATTGGTACACGAATCTTTGTCATAGGCTTTCAAGCTCAAACGTTCATTATTGCAATTAACATAAGCACAGCTTGTTAAGAACCACTTACTCCAACTACAGAATATTCTCTTCGTACGACAAGTGAAAACAAATCAAAGAGCGACAATTCCGTAAACCTTAAAGTAAGTCGTAAACAATATTTCTCTACTTTAAGTACAAACTTGAACTGTTTATTTTTCCTTAAATTACAATAATACCCAAACACACTTTCTCCTTATTGTACTGAGCATTCAATAACTTTAATAACCTTTCATCTAAACATAAAAGGACGTTTGAACTTTTTAAAACTACCTTTTTACTCCAGTTGTTTGTACCTCTTTGTTATA